AGAATACAGATTATACTTTTTCATAATTTGTCGATTCCCAGTCTGTAATTACATTTATATCTGTATTTCCTATGAGAGCACCTCTGCACATATTTCATGCTTTTTCACAAACACTTTATTTATTAGTCATTTGCCATGTCTCTGCTAACGAAGCTGGAACCATGCAATTTCTGCGCTGCCACTGCAGAGGAAGGCAGGTCACAGTCGCCGACCTCCACATTTGCGCCTCCGTGACGAATCCCGGGAAAACTCCGGTGCCTACTGGGGCTGCCAACAATGTTCATGTAAAAGGGAGGACACTCGATAAGAAAAAACACACGCAGCAACACATTTCTTTTTTTAAATATTAATTTTTAAACTAACGTCAGCTCTTGTTCTAGTTAATTCTTTCTTCTCTCCATTTGCGATTCCAGTGTACAATTAGCTCACAAAATGCCGATGAAGATGATCTGAGCGTTTTTTTTTATTTTAGTCGATAGACAAAGACACAATAATGCATGTGTGTGTCAGCATTCAGAAAAAGGATATTCATATTTACTATACTTGTTATTACCAAGTTTATTATTTATGCTTGTGAATATTACACGAAGAATTCCGCATCCCATTTAAATAACTCTAATGAGCTCTCATATAGTTCTGGCTAGTGTATAATCCCACCACATTCCACTTTCCATTCATTTATACACTAAGCCAGATAATAAGGCTAGAAGCACGTTGTATTACACTAAGGCTGAATATGAATAGAAAGCTAGTGGTGCTAAAACAGCACTATTTTCTCGTCCGTACTTTCACGGAAAATTACACGAAAAGTACTCAAACTTTTTGGAAAAAATTGTACCAGACCTTATTTAAAAATCTCTTTGTAAGGACCAGATTTCATTTATGGAAAATCTCTTTCTTCATGATTGTAGTTGTAGGAAGTCACCGAAAAAGTTGAATTTTTCCAAAATTCGGAGGTTTTTCTAATAGTTTCGTAACATGATATCACGTGATGGGTTCAGATCCTTACGTAGATCAAATGACACGCGCACAAATACTTTTTTTACGAACTTGATACTTGAGGAAAACGTTCGAAAGTTTGTTGGTTGTACCAACGGTTGTGCTATCTCCGTTAAAACTCTCTCACTGTATGAATTTATATTCTATTAGTGCATGAACATTATAAATCCATCACGAAGAACGTCCATTAATGTTTCAGTTTTAATAGTGAGGATTTCTTTATCGCCTTGATGATTCGAAAAACGTTATTTAAGTTTCGAACTCTGCTGGTACATATTCCTTCTGCAATCGACAGTAAGGCACACTCGTACTCGTCCTTCTCGTAGTCCTTCTGTACTCGTAAGTAACACGGAAAAGATGGTTCATAGCATCAACTGATGCCAATGCAGTGCCTCTGACAGGAAGGTGGTCGGGTTTGAGTCCCGATGCTAGCAGGATTTTCTAAACTTAAAAAATAGCTAGATCGAATTCAGCAGCTGTGTGGAGGAAAATTCCAGCGGCCGGCTGCTCTGATTGGTAGTTTTCCGTGGTTTCTTCTATCCAGGCGAATGCCGGAGTAGTGTCCTAACAAACGGGTCACAGACCACACGCTATCTTTCCTTCCTCTTCCTTGTCCTATTCTCACCTCTTACACATACACACTCATGCACTACATTATCGCACGTGTAAGCAAACCAGTCTAGAGCTTTTTTTATTTGTGTATTTTTTACAATTTGTTTATATTGCCACTTGGTGGCTTTGACAAAGTAGATCAAATGTCCTGGCGAGTCCATGAGCTACGCTTCTACCTGCACACCTAAATCGTGTTACGTGTATATTCACATCTCTACTTTTTTATGACATTTATTACTTTACGCAAAATTAATCTGTTTTATATGTAAATAAACCTTTTAAATCTAAATGCTTAACTATATTAATTACTCCATTTTTTATCCTTCTCTTAGCCGCATATAGATATTATTGGGCGTTACCGACTTGGTTCAGGGATCCGAGTGGTCAACTACTAAAACATCAAAACACTTTTCACAATTTCATATTACATGTTACATATTTACCATTATATTACATGTTTATAATTCTTAGTTTTGTCATTATTAGGAAAAACCAGAATCAGAGAATAATCCCTATTGGGAAAATAAGTTAATTGGTGGATATTTACAAAAAATTACATCTATTCATTTTACATTTTATGATACAAATTTCAGCTGAATGTCACGCTGGGGCATTGGAGGTACTGCCCTTGGATAAAGTTATCTCTTGTTTAGTGACTTCTTCCTCTGCTATTTGAAAGTATGGTTCGTTTTGGACAATTCCGATTCGATTTTCAATTTCCTTGAATGTCCTTTCAATTAATAATGAATTAGGCAAGGTTTCCACTGTCAGCTCAATTCCATTTTGTGTTTCTATCTCGAACCGCAGCCTAGCGCACTCGGGGCATTCACACAATAAGTGAACAGCGGACTCCTCGTCTCCGCAGTCGTCGTCCGTCGCAGTTGGGAGGATCAATTGGGCTTAGATTGAGTAAATTGGCTTCAAACGACTGGTGATGCTCCCTGGTGATAAGAGTTAACGTCCTAGACGGCTGAAATGACTAAAATCCCTTCTATATGGCACCCGATGCATAAGCATCTCTGCCTGTATCACCATTCTCCCACCTGTTTTGTCACGTTGCCACTGCATTTACATATAACAACTTAAATACCTGACCTCTTAAATCTATTTTACTACAATCTAAGAAATATGAATTATCACTGTGTCTATTTACATATCTCGCAGCTGCAATCTGAACCTCAAGATCGAGAGAATGCTCTCCAGAAGCGACTTGTAGCGTTGAAGTAGCGGTTGTTCGTTATGCTCGGCAAATAGCCAACAATGCCGCTCTTTTAGCCTTTCCCAGTTCTCTCTTGACATGTGCTTAGTGCTATCTCTAGCCCAAGCTGAAGCACAATGCATAATGATAGACAAAATAGCTCCTTTGTAAATAATCGATAACGCCTTTTTATTAATAATTCTTGTGATCCTTCTGTTCTTCGCTTCATAAACAAAGATTTCGCCTTGAAACATGCTCTAGCAACGTGTGCAATAAGTTTCGGTTTAGGGACTATGTCGTTCCCTCAATAATACTGGAGCTGAGTAACTTGTATTCTTTCTGTTACGTTCAGGAAATGAGATATTGTCGATCGGCTAAAAATAACTTTATTCCATCTAACTTTGTACATGTGGTGACACTCTTTATACAGTTCAAATGCCTTTCCCAAAAATTATCTTTCAGCTTCTTAGCGGCGTGACGCCTCACTCGTCACGGCAGCCCGTGTAGAGGGGAAGTCCCAGGTTGCAGCTTCCCTTGCTCGGCCGTCATCAATGTTAGATCCAATTCCCTTTAAAGTTTGTCTAATTCGAATGTACGGCTGAAAGTTTGTAAGTGGCTAGGTTGGTTTATGTCAAACAACACATATCTCATGACCATAGCCAAGACATATTCTCCACGGGAGTCCTGCAGGACTTACTCGTAGGACTTGGCATTGGCGTACATTCCTACCACTAGTGGTATAATTCTATTGGTCGCTCTGAAGACGACTTCCAGTCGACTACAAATTGGCTCTATTGATTATGTGGCCGTCATATACTCTGAAACAAATCTTATAAACTGTGAACCAGTTGATATATCACAAACCACCAAATCACGAATAGCAAACTTTTCTAAATCAAGTACTCGCATTTTCGGGTAATTAATCAGAATTGCTACAGCTCTTTTTCTATAACGCCCGCCAGATTGTACCTCCCGAATAGAGCGATGCAAACCGGCGACATTACCTTGAATCGTATAGGATTCATGTAGCAAGATAATGTCTGGAGCATGTTTGGTATTACACAATTTCTCGGTAGTAGCCATTGCGGCTATACCTCTACCTGCATTCATTTGCAGAACTTTAAAGTCCATAGTCAGTTCTAGCTATTTATAACTCTGTGGCTTCTTTTATTTCACTTCTCACTGAAGTCTTTATGCCCCGTTTCTTGCTTTTTTGTTATCGCACAGTTTGCATACTTAGTTATTGCATTTTGCGGCAGATCCCTTCATGCTCTCCATCACAATGGCCGAACACAATTTTTTTCTTTGCAGACCGCCTTACGGTGTCCAAATCTCAAGCAACTCATGTAGCGCACTGCTGCAACGTATGTGTTACACACATATGAAGTCATATCAGAAAACAATCGTCCTTTCGAATCACAATATTTCCAAATTCTTGGCAGCACTTCCAGCAACCAACTGGTGTGGAGTTTTGCCTCTTGATCCTTCCCCATTTTAAAAAGGGCCCTTTTGTCTCTCGCATTTTCTTCAAGTTCAGTGCCTTTAAAATTCCTCTTGATAATATTATCAATAGTTTGTTTTTCATCTGCAGTTCTTGGAGCGCCATGAATAATCACCATTGGAAGAATTTTTTTGTTTTTTTTTTTTCACCTCTACCTTCTCAGAGGTCTTAATTTATTTTTATATCGTTTTAATGCGTTCTGGCCCGCAGCCTCAACCACGAGTATACCGCTTTTAGCGCTTTATCTTGTCTTGTTGATATTGATCTTTCCCCCGATACCTTCTGTCCTACCTCATCTGTCATGCCTTGGTAGGTTAATTGTTGTCCGTATTTTGGCCTCATAGTTATGAAGTTTTCTTGGTTCTTGCCTACTCTTCTCTTTGGTTTTAATATGTCTGAGATTAGGCTTAGTTGGCTTAGCATCAACTGCTTCATACAATGAATTATTGAAGAACATTGTTTGTGTTTTCTTATGAATAGGGTTCCATAGTCGCAAATACTCTTCTTTCAACGTCTTCTAATGTAAATGAGAGCTTCATATCTTTGATAAATAGCCCTTTGCATTGTCTTAATGTTGGCAAGATTAGATCATTTTCTTGTGCATTAATCTTAGAATCTTTCTTTGCCAAAAATTGGATCATTTCGTCGCAGGCATAGATTCCGTCTTCTCTCTTATCTGTCCCTTTTTCAATGGTGTCCCCTCTTAGCCGCTTCTGCCTTTCGGCAGTCACGTTGCGCGGCCCTAAAGCACTTGGAGCCGGGGAACACCACATTCTCTCACATTCTTTGGAGTCTGGTCCTCGACTGGGACCTCTTCATCTGAATTCTGACTATTCATATTGCACAGAAAAACGTCCCCCCGGAGGTGCACCATCCGACAGGGAGAGTAGCGTCTGGCTTATGACTCAGAAAAATACTCCAGAACCCTTGTGGCGCCAGGCCCAAGAGATGGTTTGGTGCTTAGATCTTCTCTCGACTGGGGCGGAGCCCTACTGGCGGGAGATACCTAGTTAAGGAAATCCCTGCAGGCCGACGTGTACGTCGGCGCCAGATCTCGCCATCCAGCGGGGGAAAGATCGCCTCCACCCCCTGCAATAAATCATACACTACACTTATGTGTTTAATGACCTTGGCAATTGGCGCGCTCGGAAACACCAAATAATCAATAGTAGGTAGTGTCTTAATGACGACTACTACTCGTTCCCTACCTTCTGATATAATTTTTATTGAAGTTTTCATCCTCTGCTATCAGCCTTGGAGACGTAGTTTCATTTTTCATAGTTCACTGAATTATTTTCGGGTTTGTATAAATGGGTTTGAGAAGGAACTAGCGATTCTGAACTCTAATTCTGTTTTGGAAGAATGTACCACACAATGTTTCAGCACGTCACATCGTAGCTGCAGTTTTTACTTGGTTGTACTATACTAATATAAGTAAAAAATTAAAACACAATCTTCAGAAAATCTGACAAACGTTTGACGAAAGTACATGTTTTGGGGATCCCTGATACTGAAAATAAGTTTCCTCTATCACGGGTCTGTCCACCTCATGGCCCGTCCGTGGACAAGCGTCGAATCAGTGATTTCTGTCAAATATGACTTATTCTCCGGTGGAAACATGTTTTCAGCCAATACTGATATCTATGACTATAACACTCCACGTAGTAATCGCATTAATCAAGTTTCAGTATCAAAGGATCTCCACAAAAATCCACATAAAATATATGTACCGCATTTTACAACAAAATATATGTACCGCATTTTACAACAAATTGCTATATGACTTTAAATGATTAAAATCGATTCACAAGTTTAAGTGCCAAGTAAAATATTTTCATCTGTATAACATTTTCAATACAATTAGAAAATAATTCATATTCCTAGCATTAAAGAAAAGTAATATTTATGTAAACGATATTTAATTTATTCCTCACCATTTGTAGTGATTCACTCTAAAAGAATAAATGTGCCCATAACATGTATTTTACAATAGCTTTGGGGTCAATGACTCCCATTTCGATCACGTTTTTTGTCCAGTTTCTCTGATCCTTTGAGAAAAGTCTGAGATGCTCCAGCTTCTGCTTCTGGACATGAATGTAGCTTCACTATCTGTGCATATTCCATTACATTCTGTGCATCCTTGAATTCAGTGGGGAATGTAATTATTCAAAAAACCATTCTCCCTGCTCTCGTGGCAGTAAGTCGATTCTGACACTGTCATGATAATTTTAAAAAACTGTATCTGATCAGAATTTGTAAATAATTTTCATTTCAAGCGAGCGAATATTTTCATGCCAATTCCTCTCAAAATCGCTAATGTCTGGCGGCAGCGAGCGGGTTGCATGCGGCCCGCCGGAACTTTTTGTGTGGCCCGCGACTGCTTTGAAAAATTGTATTATACCATCCAAATACAACGTTTTTTTTAGTTATTCTGTTATGCATTTTTATAATTATTACATAACTGTAATTATTAATGTGAAATTTTCCTCAACGGAGCTGAAAGTGGAAATAAATTCTTCGGTGAAGCTGAACGCCCTCAATCTTCTCATTGGACAATTGCACAATTCATGTTATTTTTATTTAATGATACATTAATTTATGTTCATAATAAAAGTATGTGCTATATATATATATATATATATATATATATATATATATATATATATATATATATATACACATATACATACATATACTTCGTTGGTCAGCGCTATGATCGTGTGTTTTATTTTTCTTCTTTAAACGTTATGGCAAACTTTACTCTTAGCTGTAAAGAAGAAGACAAATCGATGTTGTTTGAAGGTTTGTCTTGTAATTATTGAATTTGGTTTTCTCACATTTCAATCCTCCTTACAGATCGGGTAATATATTTTAAATTTTGACGTTGTGCACCTGCTTCTCCTGAAAGTGTGTGGGGCGGTATCTGCGTTAAAGTAATCTTTCTCGTCACAGGCTCTTTGAATTTTTAGCGTTGTTTGTAATTATTTCCAATTATCATCCCTGAATACCTTCACCAGAACTATGTAAAATGTCATATGGCGCATCTGAGATTAAGAATGAACGTTAAAACATCTTTCCACTATGGTAGGAAGTACGGCTCTTAAGGCGACGGTGATGCCAAATGTGACGCTTTTTTGCTGTATTGCATTAACCAAAAGTTACGCGCTCGATTGTATCGACGAATACCGCAATGCGGCGGAGCGCTAGTTTAATGCTAAATTAGTTAGTCACGAAACTCTCCAATTTATATGAATGCGTATTTTCTTCCATTCCCTCACATCTAAACTATTCTCTTTTAGTAAAATATTAAAACTGCATTTCTTGAAATTGGGGAGATCATTGTCACGGTTCACTGCCGCCAGAATACAATGAATGCACTTTCCTACGGATGGCATTTCTCAGGAAATCGTAATTTGCTTCCCTGCTATTGACGTGAATGTATCAGCTTTTCCTCATTTTATTGAGAGTTGTAATTGAACCACATGCGCTTTGTTGTCTTGTTGCAAACTTACACCAAGTGTTGCCACTGTTTTGTCCACAATCCAGTGCACTGGTTTTCCTTAAAGTTTCCCTTTTACATTTTGTAAGTATTAATAATCTTTTTTTCCCTCCACTATGGAGTACTTAACCACTCTTGCGCATTACAATTGATGGATCACATATTCTAAATTAATTTTGGGAAGAAAAGGAAATTAAATTTAAAAAATTATAAATTAATAAGTTAGCCACTACCGAAAAATCAAAATGAAGAAAAGTAAACGAAATTACATTTAGCTTTGGCGTGAATAAAACCATATCTCTAAGAAAACAACAGGAATGCGTACTTTCTAAACACATTATGATGTAGCACCCGGAACACGTGGCAACGTGGCTGCGGCTGATCCAACAACTAAACGTATCGCTTCCAACAAAAATTAACAAATTCTAAGGATATTCACCAAGATTTGTTGTAAATTTATTATGAGTTCCAGGTGTAATTGTACTACTAATATAGGGGTTATAAAAAATTATGTTAATGAGGACTAAAAAGTTTGAATTTTTTAAACAGGAAGGGGTGTGCAGGATGTTCATTTACTGGAAAAGCCAGTAAGGTTCAGTATCATACTAAACCTCAAAAGCGCCGTAGAAAAGTGACCGCCATTTTCAGCTATGAGCCGCCATCGTGAGAAATCCGTTAGACAGGTAGAGCGTAAGATATTGTGTAAGATAATGTTTCAGAAAAAACTGTTTTCCGTGTTAAGAACGAAAATTGATCCTTGTACAATTTCTCACACGTTTTACAAATATTTCAACATTTAAAGAGTTAACAGAGAACTATAAACTATTTTACAAAACAGTCTCTAGTTATTTTAAAATGGAGATTTGCCCCCATAAACAGATTGATTTATAGAAACATTTTGATGAAACCAATTCCTTCCTCACTGTCAGAGCAGCTCCAGAAAAAAATTTTGAGATAACCATAAATAATGGATGGGCTTCATTTAAATGGAATATGAAATTAAAGAAAACGTTTTTTATATTAAAACTAAATTACATAAAATTGTGAATTGGATACATGGTTGTTATTAACAAGTAGTAATAGTGGCACTAGCTTAGATAAACATGTTTGATTTTTATTTTTGAATTATATGACATCCCTTTATTTTACATTTTTGTATGACTTGCTGGAATTGAAAATAAAATGTTTAAGTAAGTAATATTAATATAAATTTTAACTAATTAACTGAACTTAAAATTAACTTAATTAACTTTGTGTACAAAGACAAAGAATATAAACAATCAATAACTTTGCAAAACTTATTATTCCAAAAACATCATGCATGTGTTGATGAATGATTAATGTTTCTACGGAATAAAGCTTTTAGAACATTGTGATCATTACAATAATTTTAATATTAGGCAGGTACTATATTTTAAAGAACACCTGAAGATGGATTTAAAAAATTAGAATCTGAAATCGGTAATGTAAAATAAAAAACTATGGTAATTTTTGTTATTTAAATTTAAGTAGAAAAGTTAAGTAATCTGATTTTAATTAAAGGAATCTAAGATTAATTAATTTAAATGTCACTCTCATCTGTCAGTAGGAGTTTCTCTCAACAGCAATTTTTTCATGAACTGAGATTACCAATGTAATGGTTCCAATCATATGGTAAATCAGTGCTCTGTGACTAAATGTTCTTATTTATTTATTAATGTTCATTTATTTATTTGAATTGTAGATTGATTGATTGATTTATAATTAAAAAGAACAATATAAAACTGTATGAGGCATATTGGGGAGAAATATTTTCTGCAAACTTCTTCTTGATCTCCAGGATCCCTTCTCTCATTCTTTTACTATAACATAGAAATATGGATAAAGGTATTTTCCATTTAATGTGATTGACAACTAGACATTAAACTAGACATTTTTACTCCCATGTAATAGGAATCTATGTATTTGTAGGAAACTAACTGTAGATTTGATTTTACAGTTTTACTCAAGAAATAACTCACACCCACCTCAATTAGAAAAAAAGAGTTCTCAAATGCCCCATTACAGTCCGAAACCAAAGCAAGGGACTATCTCAGAATTTCTCACTGAATTTCTGTAGCCACTTGGCAATGTAGAATGCTAGTTGAAAGACTTTTCTAACTTATTCAGAATCATTATCCTCTGACATACATCAGCATGTGTTCAAATATTCCTATCTTCTTGGGGTCAGTATCCTTATATGCACTTAGATTACCTAATCCCAAACGTTTCTAATAAATACTAAAAAATCCGTAAAAATTTGTATTTATCAATGAAGATAAAGATAGTAAGAATATGATTAACTAGTTACAAAAGTTATGAGGTTAGTAATAAAAATCTTATAAATTTTTGCCAAATATTTACTTTCTGATTTTAATATTAAATTGCATTCACAGTTTCTAAAAAAGTACTTATTTGAGATGCTGTACTCCCAAAATTAACAATCCATTGGAAAGGGAGTAAGGCTGCTGACACCAACCCACCATATATTGGTTCTTAGTCTAAAAAAGTTACCTCATGTCATGTATCCTTAGTTTCCCCTAAATATTTTTTTTTGGAGAATGTCTTATGTGTTTCATGGGAATTATTACTACTCATTTTCTTTCACCTTTTTTTTATATATCTATGCAAGATTTATAAGTACATTTCATTTTTTCAGGATAGAGATGGGAATTCTCATGAAGGGTCAGATGATAATGATTCTGATACTATTCCTCATTCATGGCTTGGTCACAGAAACCTACTCAGACTCCTAGACCCCAGTTTCAGTGGAAATCATGAAGCATTTCTGGTAAGTTAATGCAAACTGAACAGCAAACACTCAGACCCCTACAGTACATGACATTAAATAGTAATTACTTCATAACCATTTTCAGTTTCATAAACATTTTTTATATACATTTCATCAAAAGCAAGAGAAAATTCAATTGAATTGTGAATGTTCCATTGAGTGATAAAATCACTACATAATTCAAAATTCTATTAAGTGTTATCTCCATGTATTTTCCAAGGGAGAGAAATAAAAAAAAAACTTGCTAGTGTCACAAAACTTAGAATTTTCACATAAATATTAAACAAACTTTTCTCCAACAATCATTATAAACTGCCATGTATGAAGATTACTTATTATGAATTATTTGTATGTAACATTTCTTCTGCACACAAAGGAAATTGATTTTCAAAGAAATTAGTTTAGTTGTATTCCACTTTGGACAAATGTTTCAAAAGATTCAATACAGTAAAAATTATTATTTACTTTCATTTATTTCAACCTCATTAAATTGTACATTGGATTTCAGTTGTATGTTTTAATATATTACAGAAAGAATGGAAGAAAGACCATCCAGTCATAATATCCCACATTACTGAGAAGTTGGATTTGAAATTGTGGACTCCTACATATTTTTCCCAAGGTTATGGGGAAAGTAAAGTTGATATAGTTAATTGCATCACAGGGGAAGTAATACCTGATCAGAGGATGAAATTATTCTGGGATGGGTTCGAAGACTTGGGAAGTCGACTGAAAGATAAAAGAGGTCACCCAATGATTCTTAAAATGAAAGAATGGCCTAGATGCACAATGTTTGAATCAGTTTTGCCAGAACATATGAATGATCTTCTTGGAGCTCTTCCCTTGTCTGCATGCACACATCCAAAAGGCTTATTCAATTTTATAAATTACTTGCCAAAAGGAATCTTAAGTGATGACTTGGGCACAGAATTACTATGTGGTTATGGAGCTGTTAAGTATCCCTGGGTAGGTACAAAAAAGGTTGATGTGAATAAAAGTGATTCATTAAGTATTCTGGTATACGTTGGCAAAGTCACAAATGAAGATGGTGGTAATGAGGGAAAAAAAGGTATGTATATCATTTTAAATAAATGAAGTCTTCTATTGTTAATTGACCAAAGAATACTATTGATTTCATGAATTGTGTTGTCAAAAGTTTTACAGGCAGTTAAAGATGCTGGGTGTGATCAACTGTCTATGGAACGAGTAAAAATGAATGGAGATATACCAGGTGCAGTTTGGCATGTGTACAATAGAAAAGATTCCAAGAAGATAAATGATTTACTAAAAAAAATAAATTTTTCAAGAGGTATTCTTTCACAACCAAACCAGAATTTAATTAATGGTGAAAACTGGTATTTGGATGGTATTCTTAGAAGGCGTCTTCAGCGAGAGTATGAGATTAAAGTTCATGCAGTCCTACAGTGTCTTGGAGATGCTGTAATAATTCCTGCCGGTGCCCCTTATCAGGTTTGTTTTCTTTTACTTATCCAGGTGTGAATCCACAGGGAGGGAAATAAGGGAAAAATCCCCCTCACAATTTTTCATTAACTATTAATTTTAGCTTATGGATTATGAGGATATTTGAAGCACCTCAAAGGAGACATTGGGAACCATTTTACATGAATATTGTGATTCCATGCAAATAGCTTCCTTGAGTGTTACAAAGACAAGGTATTTATTTTCATGACAGAAGAACACATTGTGTTTAGCATCTGCTCTTACTTGTGACAAACACTATTATTGAAAACGTAATTTTAAATTTTCCTTTTCAGAGGGGCTGAATTAAAAATTTCAAACCAATGAAACAGTGACACAATTCAATACAATTCATGCTTTCACTTTCATTCTACCTTATTCTTTTGTATTCTGAAGTTGTTATGCTAACAATTTACTCTTTTTCCAATAAGTTCTCAAATTTATATCCCATTTCCATCATTGACTACCAATTTTTTTTCTCATGTCACCTATTGTTTCTTTGTTCACTAAAACAATTTTAATTAACTTTGAAATCTTTCTATATTATGTAGATCATATTTAAAAATAATTTGTTTACATTTGCAGGTTCAGTATTTAAAAAGTTGCATCATGGTGAAGCATGCTTTTGTATCTCACCAGAACATAAAAAAGCTATGAAATAACAAGCTTCATCCTATGTGTTGTGTTCATTTTTAAAAGAATCTCCTAACAGATCAAATTAATTATGAGATACATTGTTGTGAAAAGAATTAAGTTTGAGCACACATTCAGACAGAATTCTTTTAATTACAATTTAAAACCTTCGTCAAAAAGTTTTATTGTGTATTGCTTGTATAACAAAAATTAAAAATGTTAGCAAGGAAATACATTTAATAAATTGTGTTGAGCTATATTCCATGAAGATTCTGTACGTAATTATAAAATTACACAAACATTTAATGATGTATGTATTATGTCATGCTCATAACTTACCTCACAAATGATTCCTTACAACCAAACCTAATTAATATGAAAATGAAATACACTCTCAATAGGTTTTATAAGTAGTTAAATAATATATAGTTGAAAATGGTAAAGAAATTAATAGATAAGGCTTTTACTACACTTTAACACACTTCACACCCTACATGGGACAAATATTTAATATATAGTACTAAGACACGTATAGACTATATATAGGACTAGGATAAGTATAGTAATAAGAATATTAAAATAGAATTACCGTATTTACCCGAATACAAGACTAGTTTGTTGTTTTTTTTTCGAAATATCTCAGTCGAAAAATGCGGGGTCGTCTTATATTCACAAATTTAGCCTAATAGGTTGGTATTTAAGTTTTTACAATGTCATTCCATGTCTCGTAATGTTAAATACCTACTCGTAAATGTTGGCGTAACAATAAACTACAATGACGGTGAAAATATCGCGCGTAAGAATACGTAATTATATTCGCGTTTGCATTCTCGCCATCCACCGCGAATTTGTCAAGCAATTCAGACCGATATTTTTGAATGGGCCGGTAAAGAGAATCTCTAACCGAATGTCATTGTATCAAACGACACGTAACGAGAAAATGAATGCCGTGAGTTTGTTTTACGATGCGGGTTCGACGAGGTCGTGTGGGATCTCAGTTCGCGCACGGTGAATAGGAATCTGCGTCTTGAATAGAAACAGAGGTGATCAACAAGTGTGGGACGGATAAAAAATATGGCGACAGAAGAGAATGTTCTTACATGGTGTCTGATGAAAGACTATGAACAACGCAAGCTTAGTTTGCAAAACTTTCAAGAGGGACCTAAAAAATCAGAAAATGTCACAGCATGGAAGGATGACCAAAAAGAAGAAAAAACATTGATACATGTGGAGATGATGATTATAATGATATTAAGGCACAATAAAATAATAGTTCAGCAATAACTCTTAATATTCTCAACAACAACGCAATTTTCTAGTCAATAACACACTTTGTAATTTTATTTTAACTAAATAGTAAAAATTAGTGAACAATTTTAAAACGTCTTAGGAGGCCTCTCCAAAACTAGGGGGTCATCTTATATTCGAGGTCGATATATATTCGGGTAAATACGGTAATTAGATGAGGAAAGAAAAGAAATCACTCGACTTACTAGCATGGATCATAAGTGTGCTGCAGCACCTGAACCTTGCTCTCATAAGGGGTATCTTCTCTGAAATCAAGACAAAATGAAGGAGCCACATGACACAAAAGTTGCAAAGGAGAGATTATGTAATCATCAAAAATCTTACATCTCATATACAAACATCTTACATACGAAACATGACAACAAACCAGTCATTCCAGCCCAAACCAGAATACTATATGACCAACCAGGAAATAAAAACCTCAAAGAAAATTCCTGCAAATAAAAGGAAAAATTGAAGAAGCTATTGTCAATTATCAAAATTTAACAAAACAATTGACCACACAGTGAAATAACATGAACACACTGCTAGAGGTGTTTATACTAGAATTACATCTTGAGTTAGAAGGGATACTAAGTGTACAGATCATATTGAGTAGTATATGATCAAGTAATATCTGAACAATAACACCTATAAGAATAAACAAAAGTATTGAAATGATAAATGATCTTAATACAACAATAATATCAACAAAAAAATAAAAACAACAAAGAACTCGAAGAAAAACTTAGCAATACAACCCAGGCGTCAGTACCGTGCAAAGACCGTTGTACGCTGATTCAGTGAAAACCTAGAAAATTATTCATTTGACTCCAGAACAATCATATCAACAAAACTACAGCACTCAACAGTAAACCTAAAGCAAAAATCAACTAAAACAGATGCACAAAGTATCAGGAAAGAAGCAGACAATGGCCTTAAAGCTCATTCATAGAAGATAAACATAAAACACATGTGGACTACAATTGAATTACAATAAAAACAGCGAATTAGCAACTAACAGAAAAATCAAAATTGTATTTCAATGACCAGGACTTTGCACTATCTGAACACGTAGGTGGCAGGGCAATGAAACAGGTGATGGTATCACATCCATTCTCATTATCTGTATAATAAGTGAGATAAAAGTACACATACTAATGCTTGTGTTCTCAACATAGGTATCTAAAGTTTTTGACACTGTTAATCATAAACTATTGACATATCCATCAGATATAATAGAAGGTAGGGGTATTGCCCTAAAATGGCAGATTTTAAATTGTTAAGGTTAATAACACAGAAAGTGCTCAAAGAGATATAAAAATTGGAGTTTCTCAATGAAGTGCAGGCCCTTCTACATAGAATAATAAATTTTATGATATATGATCTGTTTATAAATCTCCAAATGACGTAATTATACCATATGCCAAAAATATATTTATCCTTGAATTATGGTGAAAATTTGAAGAGTGCTGAAAAGACTGCCTATGAATATCTTTCAACAGTTGCTTGCTGACTTGCTCACAATAATTTGTCACTCAATATTGTTAAGATTAAATGTATATATTTTTGTAATTAATTTTTATAGTTTATGCAGTAACATGCAAGTTCAAAACGTATATATCAAATACTTCAGTATTATAATTGACCAACATATTAAATGAGCCATGCACATTACTATTATTGTCCAAAAAAACCAAACCAGCTTGATTTTATATTTTCAAAATTTAAAGAACTATTAGATAAAGTGTTGCACCTGTCTATTATAGATTTCTCAATAGTTTCACCCCGCATACAGTTTGGAGATCAGTTTACATCAATACTTACTCCAAATAAATATTTAATGTAAGAGTAATGAACTGTTCAATTTCTCCCATGCATATTATTTAAATATTTTATAAGTTCACTATAATAAACTATATACAGTGCATATATAACAATCAACCAGTATTGGAGACACAATTAGTTTTATCAAAAGTTCAATAACAACTAGGCAAAAATAACCACTTTTATAAAGCTGTAGAAACTTTTAATACACTAGCAATCACACTTAAAATGTTACATTGGAAGTACTAAAAGGTTGAAGTATCATATATAAATTTGTTAAAAAAATTCAACATTTTAAATGTATACAAGAACCTTTCCAATTAAAAAATACCTTTTGTATTTCATGCCTTTTTTTTTTAACTTCTCGCACTTACTCCATAAGAAGAGAAAGTGTTGCAATTGTATTTCCCCCTAAAACGGGGGATTTTCGACAGAAAACCCTTATTGTAGGGCCCTAGAAACGAGTTCCATTAATAATAAATTACTTTCTCCAACTTGTTTACACTGTCAGAAATATTGGCATTACCTTTCATGTAAAAGTACACGAAAGTAATTATCATGAACGCACATTAAATTGACTGTACACGTACAGTACCTTTAAAGTACGTGTTCATTAAATTTAGTGTATGTGTACATTTAAATTTAATGCACACACGTACATTAATTTCAATGTATTTATTACTTCCATTTTAACATACGTGTACATTAATTTCAATGTACTTATTTACACTAATTTTCGTTTGTGCACAAATTAATGTTAAAAAATATTTGCATTAATTTTAATGTTCGTATTTATTCGTTTTCGGGTATTCATTTTCATGGAAATACGAAAACAGTTCAATTAATCCACATGTTCTCTTATTATTCCACTATCTTGTATATCAAATATTAGTGAATTAATATTACCAAAAATGTATTTATATCACTGTGTGAGAGAGGGACTTCAGCTAATAGCGTAGAATTCGATCTTGAGGTCACTTGTATCTGAAGGCGTAGACCTT